GCGTGTGCCGGCCGCCGACCGGGGGAGCCCGGCGTCCTCGGCGCGCCCGCCGTCCCCCGCGTGGTGCCACCTCGGCTCCCCGAGCGCCCCTCGGAGCTGCGGGCTCGCCTCCCCACCCCCACTGCATCCCCCAAAGAGGCAAACTTTCCCACCCCGGGCGCCCCCACCACGGCCGGTGCGCCGAGCTCCTCGGCCGAGCGTCCGAGTTGCTCACGCCGGCCGCCGGCGGAGCGGGCACCCTGGTGGGGAGGCTGCGGGAGGGCGAGGGGAGAGGAGGAGCCGCCGGCCCGGGCGGGGCGTCCCCGAAAGCATGTGTGCCGCCGTCAGGTTCTTTATCTCCGGGGCGGGAGGAGCCGAGCTAACCTGGCCAGTGGGCGGAGGAATCAGGCTCAGTTGTTTGAAACGAGGTTTGGACGGCCCAGAAGTTTTATAATCTAGGACTTTAAACTCTCTCTAGTGAAGGCGGTTGCGATCACTTTGTGGTGAATGGGTCTTTTATATCCTGGGAGGCCTTGGTTATGGGAAAGCATTGGTTAAAGTAAAACTGGTGGGAAACAACTAGTTAGCGCCTTTTTGTCCCCCCCAAGCAGAAGCAGTGTTATAGGTTCTTACACATTTTTGTCGACTCGCAGTTTTTTTTAAGAGTTGTCAGTTTTTAAACATGATCTTGCTCTTCTTGACTGCATTGTTCATTCAGAGCACATAGGGGCTTTGAAGAATCAGTTTCACTTATTTTTGCTTAGGGTCAGTTTCACTTTCTTTTCTAGATCAATGAATCAAATCAGCTTTGACTTTGCTTTGTAAAGGTGCAAGGCTAGTCGCTTTATGTACTTAAACATAGTGAAATCTTTTTAAAGCGCGCGTGTGTGTTTCTCTTACAATGGCAAAGCTTCAAGAACGTGGGTTACACTGTTGACGGGAAAGTAAAGCAACAGTTCATTTCACAAGCATTGATATTATTTTCCCCATGTATGCAAGGTGCCACCCTGTTCAAATAGTAATATACTTGGGCTTTTTATTTGTAATGAAAAAAGATGAATGCATTCTAGCATTTGGTTAGTACAAGGTGCTAGGAATTTTAAGGCTTTTGAATGGAAGATTGTACTTAAAGCAAAGAAGACACTTGTAAAGTTAATCTGTCTCAGTTCTCCACACAAGGTCATGCCTGCAGATTTTTTAAAATGCGTTTGTAACTTTTTGCTATGTCTCTAGATCAGATGTTGAAATTTTAAGTCTTCTTTGAAGTAGTTGCTAAGCTTTGAAGCTTCCTGAGAGTAAAGAGCAGGTAACCTTATGGTTCCTAAGTCCCACACAACTTTGTTTGGCTTCTAGAAAGGTTATTTGTGTGGCAGATGGAGTTTTACTTGGAGACCTAAGAGCTTTAGGGTAAGAATTCATTGGCTGAAAATACAAATTAAGAATGTATGTTTTTGTTTGTCTTCCTAAAATTAAAATCCTATCCAGTTATTGACTACTGAATGGAATGTTTTCTTTTTCTCCACACAGTGATTGAAACAAGCAAAAAGTTTTATTTGATTGTATGTTAATGATTATCCTGAAGGGATGCTTGTCCTGAAAAGATAGAAGGGTTTGTTGCTAGCTGACACTACCATAAATAAGGCTGGATTATCTTCTAATTATTACTCTATTTTGGTTTTCATCTTTTTTCTTCTCCTTCTCCTCTTCCCCTTTTGTTTTCTTCTGCTCCCACACTGTTTCATAATTTCTTTTAACTATGAAATGGGAAAGTAAACTTCATTTCAGTTATATGGCTCAAGCTTTCTCCTTGAAAGAGGTTCACATACCTGAGATTGACTTAAAATTTTGACTCAGTTTTCCTCCATTTGGTAAGATCTAATTCATACCTCTTTCTATTTCCATATAAGGTTCCAACATTGTTTTTCAAGGTTGTACTTTGTGTGTGTAATGTTTCCTTAATTTAAAAAGTACAAACAGCAAAATGGAGACATTTAAAAAAAAAAAAAGTGATGTGAACAGGCAGCTCACCATAACCGTTGTTCATTGAGATGGAAAGTACATGGTACTTTATTACCGTTTGTACTTTACTGCATGGAGGTTTTTTTTTTTTTTTTAATTTAAAGGCTAATCCTCCTTCGGAGTTTGTTTTGTTTTTGTTTTAAGGATTAAGTGAGACACTGTATATAAATCACTCAGCAAAAGTTGTTGCTAAAAGCAAAAGCTAGTTACTTCCTTTCTCCAGAACGGCTCATTCATTTGTGCCCCACGTGAAAGGCTTCCTCCGTTGGCCAACTCAGGGTTATAAATAAGACCAGGATGGAGAGTAACAAGTCAAAGGGCTGTGCTGAAGGGCTGCCCTAGACCTCAGCCTGGGGGGCGCAGACAGAGGAGGGCTTTCCACCCCAGGCTTGGGGGAGGGGAGCTGGCCAAGGAAAGTTCCTGGAGGAAATGAATTCTTAACGGAGCAGTGGGAGTGTGAACTGGTAGGAGGTGGAAAAATGGAGGGGAGCAGAGAAAAAGGAGTCGTCTGGGCCGAGCCCAGAGCGAGCCGAGGCTGGCAGTGAGCTCAGTGTGGCGGGAACGCGACACCGGAGCCTGCGGCGAGGTTACTGGGGCAGACGCTGCCAGGTCTAGGTGTCGGGCCGCCGGGGCACTCCTGAAAGGTTTGCTCCCGAGCGGGCATCTCAGCGTGCGGAGGCTGGGGTAGGGGCTGGCTGGGGTAGGGGCGGGGAGAGGTACTGGTTTGCAGCGCTGGCTGCCATTGGGCAGTTCAGGAACATTCCTAAACGTATTATGTTAGCTAGGTGGTGTAGCGCGAAGGAGCCCCGCCGGGAACGCTGGACCTGGCCCCTAGCCCCGGGAACGCTGGACCTGGCCCCTAGCCCCACGCCAACTGGTTTGGGTTCCAGTTGCTTGCTTCACTTTCTAAACTCTGGGCATGTGTGGAGGTGGGACCTTGTGGGTTTTATCTGAACTCTCCTAGGTTCATTATGAAAATTAAGCAAGTTAATGTAAATACTGGGAGGTCTGGTGGCGCAGTGCCTAAGGCATTTGACTGCTAACCAGAAGGCTGGCGGTTCAAACCCACCAGCCCCTCTTGGGAAGGAAGGTTGGGCAATCTACTTCTGTAGAGATACTGCCTCAGAAACCCAAGGAAGGGTCGCTATGAGTCGGATCCGACAGGATGGCAGTGAGTTTTTTTTTTTTTTTTGGTTATATACAGTGATTAACACAGTGCCCAGAGCAGAGAAAGTGCTCAATTAGTGATAGCTCTAAGACTGAAAAATAAGATTCTGAGAGAAAGCTAGAATTAACTACTTTTAAAGCATGTATTTGTGCTCATTTGATGTCCGTATGTCTTAGGGACTTCATTAAAGAATTACACATACCGTATAAATTAGCCTTTTAAGAAAAAGCGTTTGCTTTAAAGGTGAGAGTTGCTATAAATGTAATATTTTAAAATGTAATGCGTATCACCTAATGTCATTTTGGACTTCCAGTTCAAAATTAAAGCTAGTTTTTGTTTTTGTGTAGTTGATACGTTTTCCTGAGGACTTATGCTCAGATTGGAAGTTCAGTCAAATGTACTAGTGCACATGACGTTCTCGTTTTGAGTACTAGAAGGAAAGAAAAAGCTACTTTTAGCAAATGTGTAGAATTGGAAAGTGATTGTAAAGTGAAGCCGACTTTCAGGGGTGTGGCATAGAAACAGAGGATCTTCTCAAATGCTTCACTGAAGGTTTTAAGATAAAAATCGTTGACATGTTCAGGTTATTAGCATGACGCAAAATCCCCAAGAAATGACTGTAAAATTGCTAGAAAATACCGTTGTTTTTATATTTGGGTGAGTTGTTTGAAAATAATTCGGATAATTATCAGGGTGATAATTGTCTGAGGTCTTGTGGCAGAACAGACGGGTGCCTTTTTCTCACCTTATGAAACGTGTGTGCTTTTCGTCTTTTGCAGAGGTGAACAATGACCATAGTTGACAAGGCTTCTGAATCTTCAGACCCATCAGCCTATCAGAATCAGCCTGGCAGCTCTGAGGCAGTCTCACCTGGAGACATGGATGCAGGTTCTGCCAGCTGGGCTGCTGTGTCTTCATTAAATGATGTCTCAAATCACACACTTTCTTTGGGACCAGTACCTGGTGCTGTAGTTTATTCGAGTTCATCCGTACCTGATAAGTCAAAGCTTTCACCACAAAAGGATCAAGGTACTGTTTATAAAAAGACAGACTCCTTACCAGACACTGCTGTATAAATGTTGTCCATGGGTTGGGAGTTCCAGAGAAGGGTTTATTTTGCAAAACATCGGCACCTGAATGGCCAGGCTTCTTTTTTCTCAGCCGCTGGTATGTGACCAGCATATGTATCACACAGATAAGGTTGTTCACAGGTCACTAAGATGTTTGCAATTAGCCTTTCTTCCTAAGTTTATTCTAAGGATACATTTTAGTTTGGTGAGAATTGAGATGGGCAGGCATTATGTTAATACCTTGTCAATTAACTAGTAGTTATTATAGTTCTCTAAATAGATGTCTAGCTTAAAAATTTGAAGATGCTTTTAAAAATGACTGCCTTTTGACAGAAATAGCTCTACCTAACTTTTTTTTTTTTTTACCAGTTAAAATCATTGGTAGTAATTTTTCTCTTTGAAAAGGAGCAGATAGTACTTTTTTAAAAAAATTTTTATTGTCATTTGGGTGAAAGTTTACAAAGCAAATTTGTTTCCATTCAACAGTACATACACATTTTGTTTCATGACATTGACTGCAGTCCCAACAATGTAACAGCTCTCTTCCCGCTTTTCTGCTCTGTAGTTACCTTTGTCCTGTGTCCGTCTTTCCGATGCATTCCTGCCCTTCTGTTCTTCCATGATTGATCATTCTAAGGAGTGTATCTGCCTCATGTACATGTTCACCATATATGCCTATCATTTGACCAGAAGCCAAGGGAGTGAGTTCAATTCCAAGCCTGAAGGGTAGCTAGTAACTAGGGGCCGTAGTCTCCGGGATTTCACCAGGTTCTGTCAGACCAGTAAGCCTGGCCTTTTTTATGATTGTGTGTTTTTTCCCACGTTTTTCTCCCACTCTCTCCAGGATCTTTTGCATTAATCCCTTTGTGAGTGGTTGACAGTGGTAGCTGGGCACCATCTAGTTTTTCTGGTCTCAGAGTCACGTAGGCTGAGGTTCTCATGGTCCACTAGTCCCTTGGACTAATTGTTTCCATGCATCTTTGGTTTTGTTCATTCTTTGCTCCAGACTAGGAGAGCCCCATTGTTGCATCTAGATGGCCACTTGCAAGCTTTTAAGACCCCAGTTGTTACTCACCAAAGTAGGGTATAGGACAGTGTTTCTGTGTAGTATGTTATGCCAGTTGAGCTTGATTGAAAGAGAAGCAGGTAATATGTTACATTTGTTAAAACGTTTATACTGGCTTCTCACTTGTCAGCATGGCTAAGTTCTAAAGTTCAAATTGGTACTGAAATTGGCATTATGTGAGAGTTGGGGGCTGCCCTTGACTTCTGTGCAGGTGTTCATCCCCCACCTCCCAGCACAGCTCATTGGCCACTGGGTGTCCCTCAGGATGCACAAGGTGCAGTGGGCTCCCTTTTCCACCACGCTTTCCCCACCACCATGGAGCCCATGGGAGTTGGAAGAGGGTGGTAGTGGTCGTCAGACGTTGTCCTTCACCCACCCCCTCTTATACTCACCCTGGGCAGGGACCCTGGTCATCCTCTGTCCACCCACATGGCCCTTCAGCCCCATGTGGTCCCTTTCCTTCTCCCCTCCTTTCAACCTTCCTGACACCTTCAGGTCCTCACCTGGCCTTCCCCTGTCCACATGCGATGCATATTGTCCTGTCATCACCCCATGCCCTCTGTGGCCAGACTGAGATGTCATGGATGAATAAGAGAAGGTGTTCCATGGCTGGTTGGGTGCTGTCCCTCATGTGGTCCAGTCATCACTGAGGCCTCCAGCATATCACTTATGGTGGCCTGTGCTGGTCCAGCTGCAGCCCTGTGTGGGGCCAACCTTTGGAGGCACCACCTGAGGCTTTTTCAGAGTTTTTGTAAATGTGAAATTCCAGATAACAAGATGGTCAATAAGTGAATAGTGGGTGTAAATGCTATTACGTTTGTTCAAACTTAGATAAATTAAACATTGGCAATTTTAGTTGGTACTTAAAAGTTTTTGGATTTGGGTGGAAGCTTTGAAATACAAAGACAGATAATAGAATTAACTTCTTCTAGGAAAGGTGTTTGACTTAGTTTTAGGTTAGAATAATTCAAACATTGTATTGTTTTGAGTCCTCTTACTGAGTGTAATATTGTGATATGGAGATTGGGTCAAGGGAAGAATTTAGATCACAAAACACAAACAACTTAGTTGAATGTTACACACAGAGGTTTCTTCTGCTTCTTCCCTACCAGAAATTCCCCACGAGACGTCTTTCTCCATCGACTCCAGCCTCCTGCCGGGTTGCTGGGCGCCTGTGTTGCTCCCTCAGGACCCTCTCACATCTTTTTGCCTCTCCCTTTTCTGGGTCGTCTGTCCCGCTCTCTGCAGCTTCATCTCTCACCTGATACTGCTTTCCATTCTCCACTGTGCTGGAGCCTCCCTTGCACACGTACATGCTCACCAACAGCTCTGTTAAGATAGAGAACTAGCTCCCGGAGTCTCACCCTGTGGTAGCACCAAGGAACTGCCAGCCTTTGACAACAGTCTTGCTATGTATGATTCTGACCTTTCTTATATAAGTTGTTCCCTGAGCTGCACCTGAGTTCTGGTTACTAATGCTTAGTCATTAGTAGACTGTTTATAACTCTTAAAAACAGATTTAAAAAAAAAACTTTTTAAAACTAAGTATAGTATACTTACAAGTGTGGCCTGGCAATGCCCGACATGAGTTCAAGACCTGTCTCCTTACTGGAAATATGAGGGTGACAATATATTAATCTTTAAATGGAGACTGGCAAGTGAGAGCTTAATAAGCGAGACATTGGCAGGGATGACGGTGGTGGTGGGGGTACTGGATATATGGAGCCATGGCAGGTGTTACAGGGCATGGACTTTTGTGTAACTTTTCATTGTGGACAATTTTAAATAGATAGAAGAGAGACTCATTACTATAAACTCTTATGTACCCAGCAGCCAACTTTGACATTTGTCAACTCATGGCCAGTCTTGTCTCAACTGTACCTCTACCCATGTATTCATCCACCCTTAATTATTTTAAAGTAAATTTTAAAGCAAATTCAAGACTTTATAATTATACCTATAAATATTTTAGTATGTAGATCTAAAAAAAAAAAAAGATTTTTTTTTTCAATAGTGTCTTTATGTAAAAGTCTAGTCAATGTTCAGATCTCCCTGATTGTCATATAATTTTTTTGACAGTAGATTCAAATCAACAACCAAACAAGCTATCCTTTGTATTTGGGGATTTATGTTTTAAATTGCTTTTAATCTCTGAATCCCCTTCTTTTCTTCTCCTTGCAATTTATTTATTGAAGAAGTTAAGCCAGGTAGAGTTTCCCACAATCTTTCTTTGGAAATTTCCTTTTCTCTTTTGTATTTCCAGCAAACTGGTAGTAAGACTAAGAATCTCGATCAGATTCAGTTTTGCTGTGTTCCTGTTTATCTAGCATTTGAAGCATGCTAAAGACTTTGTTTTTTAATACTTGTTCATTCTTCTAGTCCTAGGTGATGGCATTACTCCTCCACAGAAAGTTCTCTTCCCCTCCGAGAAGATTTGTCTGAAGTGGCAGCAGACTCACAGAGTCGGAGCTGGGCTCCAGAATTTGGGCAACACTTGCTTTGCTAATGCAGCGTTGCAGTGTTTAACTTACACACCGCCTCTTGCCAATTACATGCTCTCACACGAGCACTCCAAGACATGTAAGTATTAGTGTTCTGTATTGTGTGCTAGCCTACTTTCATTTTTATCTGAAATGAAATGGAAGAATTAAGCCAAGAGGCCTGTGATCACTTAGAGGTTGGTTTGTATTCTTTTAGAGACCAGAGAGGGACTCCTGGTAGCATGAGAAGCATTATGCACCTAGTGTGACCTGTGAGATTACTGTATTTAAAAAAAAAAACGTTTTTTATTGTGATTTGGATGAAAGTTTACGGAGCAAATTCATTTTCCAGACAGCATTTCATACACATTTTGTCTCATGACGTTGACTGCAATTCCCCACGATGTAACAGCTCTCTTCCCACTTTGTCCCTGTAGTTAACTTCTTCTCTGTGTCCTTCTTTCCTGTGCGTTCCTGCTTCCTGAGCTGTCTCCCTGTTCAAATACTGCCCTTCTGTTCTCCCACAATTGATCACTCCAAGAAGTGTATCTACCTGATGTAAATGTTCACCCCATATGCCTGTCTATTCTTTGGCTGGAAGCCGTAGGAGTGAGTTCAGTTCCAGACGTGAAGGGCAAGTAGGGGCCATAGTCTTGAGGGTCTTACCAGGTTCTATCAGACCAGTAAGCCTGGTCTTTTTTTAATGATTTTGAGTTTTGTTCCACCTTGTTCTCCCACTCTACCCAGGATCTCCTGCACTGATCCCTTTCCAAGTGGTTAACAGTTGTCGCCGGGCACCATCTAGGTCTTCGGGTCTCATGGCCATATACGCTGAAGATTGCGTCTGCTAGTCCCTTGGACTAGACCTGTGGAATTATTTTAAAAGAAGCAAATTTTCCCATCATTTGGGATTTCCAAATCCTCTGCTGCTTTCTGTGCATGCTAAAAATGAGACATAGATGTCTGATGCCAACAGCTTGGGACAAGCAGGTGTCAGAAATCCTGACTCCTGTGTTGTAAGCCTTCATTCATTTACGGGCTTATAAACCCTAGAGGAGAGAAACCCTCTTGCTGCTGTCTCCAACCTCCTGGAAATCTGTACTAGACTGTCCCTTTCGGGTTTGGGAGTCAATCTTCAACCTGAAGGGTGGACATCAGTGAAAATATCAGTGTCTCCAGTGAGGTGAAAGGCAACTCAGGGTTGAGTAACAATAATTCAGAATTAGGAACATACCCATTTTTGAGGTTTTGACCTTCTATGTATATTGTAAATTTTCTTCGTCCTAATGAATGAAATCTGCCTGTTCCTAGATCTGATGAACGCTGTGATTGTGTATGTGTACTCTGTGCTGTTGGTTAATTACCTGTGTGTGTGTGTGTGTGTGTATGTGAGCCCCTTGTTTCTTTTTCATTAGTTCTGTCTTTAATGATGAATTTAAGCTGATTCTTTAAAACTTTTTTTTCCCTTCCCCTCCAAGAGCAAAGTGATGCTTATAACAAATTCAGAAAGTACAGAGGCATTTAAAGAAATGAAAGGAAAATCACCTAGAATCTCACCACCAGGAGGTGTTTGTTATGCTGAGGGTGTTAAATTGCAGAGTTAGCATTCTTTTGGCCCTCATTTTCTCCCTCTTTGGGTTCATAATTCATTCCCTACAGACAGCTTTCCTATCACTTTTATACTTAATGAAGGTGGGGTGTGGATGAAAACCCAGCAAGCGAGAGAGGAGCAGGGCTCAAGGTCAGAAGCTGCCACTGTCCACAGTTAGGTGCCGTCTTTGATGCTTTGGTAGTTGTTTTTCCTCTCTCTGTTTTCCCACCTTTGTTGAGGTAAAATTGATATACAAAAAAAAAAAAAAAAAAAAAAATTGCCCATATTTAAAATATGTACTTTGATACATTTTGACATTTGTGTATATCCTTGAAACTGCCACTATGTTAAAGTAATGAACCTATCCATCACCCCGGAAGTTTCTTCATGCCCTTTTGAGATCCCTTCCTTCCCCTCCACCCCAGGCAACCACTGGTATGCTTTCTGTTCCTAGAAATTAGTTCCTGTTGTCTAGAATGTCATGTCAGTGGATTTACACAGAATATGTTCTCTTGTTTTCTGGCATCTTTCACTCAGCATAATTACTTTGACATTATTCCATGTTGTTGCATGTATCATCAGTTCATTCCTTTTTTTCTTTTTGCTGAGTGTATTGTGTGACCTGGATATACCACAGTTTGTTTCTCCATTCACCTGTTGATGGATATTTATGTTGTAAATAAGTCTTTGTAAGGACGTTTGTTTTCATTTCTCTTGGGTGAATCTCTGTGAGTGGATTGGCTTGGTCCTGTCGTAACTGTGTGCTTAACTTTTTAAGAAAGGGATTGTGACATTTGCCATTCACACTGCTGGTGAATGAAGGTTCCAGTTGCCCCACACCCTCCCCAGTCCTTGGTCCGGTCAGTCTTTTCAGTTTCAGCCGTTCTAATCGTGTGGAACTTCTTTATGGTGGCTCTCATTGGGGTTTCCCTAATGAATGGTGGTGTGAAGCATCGTTCCACGTGCTCCTTTGCCATATGTATATGTGCTTTGCTGAAGTGTCTTTTTAAATCTTTGCCCGTTTTAACATTGAGTAGTTTTCTTAATGTTGAATTTTCAGAGTTCTTCGTATATTCTGGGTAGAAGTCTTCTTATCAGATATGTGATTTGCAAATATTTTCTTAGTTTATGGCCTGTCACTTCATACTTTCAACAGTGTCTTCTGAAGAGCAGACACTCCTAGTTTGGAGGAATTCCAGTTCATTACTTTTTCTTTTTTTTTCAATCATGCTTTAGGTGTTATTTTAAGAAATCTGACTAACCAGAGGTCCCAAAGATTTCTTCCTACAATTTTTATAGCTTTAGCTTTACATTGAGGCCTGTGGTGTGTTATGAGTTAATTTTTGTTTGTGGTGAAGAATGGATAAAAGTTAATTTTTTTTTTTTGCATATGGATAAGCACATTTGTTGAAAAGTGTATTTCCAATTGTTGGAAAGGTAGCCTTCTCTACCCTGAACCTTTGACCTTTGTAAAAGAAAAAAAAAAAAGATATCTATGGATCTAATTCTGGATTCTTTGTTCTGTTCTTTTCTGTTCTTTTGATCTATTTGTCTGTCTTGATGCAATATCTCAATGTCTTGATTGGTAATTATAGATTCACAAGATATGAAATCAGATAGGTTTTCCCACTTTGTTCTTTATCAAAGTTGTTTTCACTATTCTTGGCCCTTTGTATTTCCAAATGAATTTTAGTTTAGTTTCTATGGAATATGTTGATTGGGATTTTGTTTAATCAACATCTTAACAGTATTGTCTTTTAACTCTCAAACAAGGTGTATCTCTGCATTTATTTAGATTATGTTTAGTTTCTTTTCAGAGTTGTATATACATTTTCAGTGTACAAGTCTTACACATCTTTTATAAGATTTATCCCTAAATATTTCATATCTCTGATAACGTTCTAAATGATACTAAAAATAAATCAGTTTCTGGTTGTTTATTGCTAGAATATAGGAATACAATTAATTTTTGTGTATTAACCTTGTACCCTGAAACCTTGCCCAACTCATTAATTCTAGCAGTCATTTTTAAAGATTCCTTAAGGTTTTATACAGAGATAATCATGTAATCTATGAATAAAGGTAGTTTTACTTCTTCTTTTCCAATTTGTGTGCCCTTTATTTCTTAACAAATATACTGCTTGCTAACCTTGAGCTCCTCAGCCCTGCAGCTGCGTGAGTCAGGAAAAGCCTCCAGCTTGACGTTTGATCCAAGAACTTGGAACTTGCCAGCTTCCATAAGTGTATGAGCCATTTTCCTAAGGTAGATTTCCCTCTCTCTCTCTATAAGCTTTACTGGTTTTGTTTCTCTAGAGAACCCAGTCTAACACAACCAGGATGAGTGTTTGAATGTTAAACCAACCTTGCAGTCCTGTGGTGAATCCCATTTGGTCATGATTCTTTCTATACATCGTTGAATTTGACTTGGTAATGATTTTAAAAGAGTTGTATGTTCATGAGGGATATTGGTCTGTAGTTTCTTACCGTGTTATTGTCTGTTTTTAGCATCAGGGTAATGATGGCGCTGAAGAATGCACTGGGATGTATGTATTCTCTCCTCTTAACCTTTCCTGGAACAGTTTGTAGCATATGTGTTTTTCTTCCTTAGGTATTTGGTAGCTTTCGTTATTGATGCTGTCTGGGCCCTGAAATTTTCTTGTGGGTAGGTTTTTAATTACATATTTAATTTCTTTAATTGAAACAGGGCTATTTAGATTCTCTGTTTTTCCTTCAGGGAAAAGCTCCTGATAGTTCATGTCTTTCAAGGAATTTGTCTTAATTGTTGAATACTTTGGCATAAAATTGTTCATAATGCTCCCTCATTATCCTTTTACTTCCTTTAGGATCTATGTTGATTTCCTCTCTCATTGCTGATACTGTTAATCTGTTTTTCCTCTCTTCTCCTGATCTTCTTAGACAACCAGCTCTTGTTTGGTTTTCTGTTTCACTGTTGTTTGTACAATTTGTATTACTCATTTTCTTTTGTTCACTTTGGATTTAATGTGCTCTCTTTCTGGTTTCTTAGGGTTGAAGCTGAGATTGTTTTACTTGAGATCTGTCTTCTTTTCTAATAGAAGTATTTAATACTATAAATGTCCCCGTATGTGCTGCTTTACCTGCATCCTAAGCATTTTGCTATGATATGTGTTCATTTTTAGTCAGTTCAAAGTATTTCCTGATTTTCTTTGTGATAATTTTGAAGTGTGTTGTTTAGTTGCCAAATGTTTAGGTACTTTTCAGAAATTTACCTATTGCTGATTTTTAATTTAACCTCATTGTGGTCAGAGAACATGTTTTTTATTATATGAGTGAATCCTTTTAAACTTGAGACTTATTTTATGCACCAAAACATGTTCTGTCTTGTAAATATTCCATGAGCTCTTAATAAGATGTGTATTTTGCTTTTATTGGTTGGAATTCCTATAAATGCCAGTGGCGTTTAGTTAGTTGATAGTGTTGTTGAGGTCTTCTGTGTCATTACTGCTTTCCTATTTGCTCTCTCAGGTTTT